TAATGCCATAATTTGGTCTTTGGACCAAAGCTTTAATTCTTCCAAACTCAGAGTTGTTCTTGGAGCCCCTGTGCTGCCGATTCTGGCTGGTTTATTCTGCTCCACAGCAAGCAGAAATGATCCACCACAGGGATCAAATCCAGAAGCCCCAGTTTCAAGGCAGAAATAAGCCTCTTCTGATAGAGAGCTAGGGAAGGACTGACATGCATTGTTGCCCTGATTTCTGCAGTAAACTACATCCTTGATACTACACATACATTTCAGAGTTGATTGCAGCCCTGGTCTTTCTGAAGGCTTTTTGTTCCTTTAGTCTGTGTGCGAACTGATTTCTCACAGCACGCAAACTCACCAGGGCAGCAGAGACCAAGGACTAAAGACCCTGTTTAAGTTTGTGTTCTTGAAGCTGATATCCAGTTTTGGATATGCAGAGAAGGCCTGTGGTAGAGGACTTGAAGGAAAACCACTACAGGACTAGATCTGACTCTTTAATTTCCAACTCTGCTTCAACTGAGGGGAAACAAAGAGGCAGAGATGTTATCTCGAAGGAAAGTGGGAGTTCTGGAGATTTGGGAGCCTCTGGAGATTTGGCACTGCACAGCATCTGTTCAGTCTTCAAAGTGACACCAAGTGTATGTGCCTCTGGGACACTGAGTATCCACAAGCTGCAAGCGATGCAGCTATCTCTGTGCATCCATCAAGCGCCCACACCTTGATGCTGGTGGAAGTGGATAACTGCAGGGCAGGAGTGTTGGCTGCACCCAGCTCTGCTGACAGACAGATGTCTCTCTAAGAGGACATCTCAGTGACACTTTGCTACCCTGAGCTCACCTGTGTTGCTCGTCAACAAGTGACAAACTGCTGCCATTAGCAGCACGCTATTAATCCAAAGTGGCCTTGCCCTGTTACAGCCTGTGATTTATAGGGTATCCCACTCTAATTATCAGCATTAGGTAAAGAATTCAGAGTTGTTCTGGGGAACAGCATCACTGCAGATCCTCTTTGAGACTCCTCAGCTCTGGAGAAGCAAGACTCAAGGTTGCCTTTGGCATCTTTCCCTAAGCCTTTTATTGTATCATTTGGGTATATCTTATTAAGGATCCAGCTTCCCCCAGAGCTTGCCATGACCATTGTGGGCTGGTAATGGCATCAAGAGGCTTTTCAAACTTGAGCAGTATGATATTATTTTAAGCATCATTATGCTTGGCTATGATCTTAAGTAGGGGGAGGGGACACAAGCTGGAGTGAGATCTATGGTTTCAATAATGTGATTTCTTTCCTGATTTTTGCACCCTGTCAGGAAGGTTTTCTTGACTTTCAAGGTTAAGTTCAGTTGGCACCATGTAGCTTTTGTAAGCATAGCATAACTAAAGAAGCAGTGCCTGTTGCCATTTGGTAGGGTTGAGAAGCCCTCAAGAATGGAGATGAAATGAGAAAAGGACCAATATTGCCTTGCAAAATGGGAAACAACACTTTTTAACTGGTGTGATACTTTTTGGCCCCAATTCCAGATGGATTAGAGCCCCTGAAACATTATATTCCTCGGTTTTTTAGCTTGTGGAGAATTTAACCTGCCTGTGGAAATTAACATGTGCTCAGTCTCAGATGTGATTCCCTGTGCTGGGATTCCCAGAGCAGATCTGAGTCTGCCGCTACCCCAGCTGCCTGCTCTCCAGAGCAGCTCCAGCTCCCCTGTGACTTGCTTTCTGGCCTGACTAGGAGGGTGAATTGGCACCACAAGTAATAGAGCTGTCTGGAGGAAGAATGGCAAACCCTTGTAATCGCTGTTGAAACCCTGTATGCCTGCTGAAATGCTGCCTGTGTCTGCATCTGAGCTCTATTGAGACCCTGTTTGAGGGCTTTCAACATTTCTCCCAGAATCTGTCAAAGTCTAGGCTTTCAGCACAAAAATGCCATCTTTAGTTATGGAAAACATTGTAGTAATGATTCAAAAATGGCTTTAATAAGCTTTTCTGCTAAAAAAAAATCCATACCCCAAAAGAGGTCCATTAAGAACCCTCAAAGAACTGACGCAACTTTGAAATCTCCATATTCTGTTGGAAAATCCTCTTCTTGGTTTTTCCTTCAGTGGATTTCTCTGAAGCTGTTTATACATGCTGGGGAGGATGTTACTCTCCAGCTGTGAACATCAGCATCCTGCAGCTCCTGCCTTTCACATCACATGGAGCCTGGTTGAGCTGCCACTGGGCAGCCAACACTCAGCAAAGATGAGGCCAGGTTGTCTGGCAGGCCATATAATACAGGTTGTGTGAGTGACATGAATCATGTCAGTGGAAGATACCTGCTAATATGGCTAAACTTTGCTCCTGTGCTAGAACATTGTCTTGCAGAGTCCCTGGCTCTTGTTTAAAAGGCCAGGATAAATCTCACATCCTGCTTTCTTGGATAAAATAGAATCCTAAACCAACAAGAGCCTGTACTCAATGAGTGACCTGCCTGACCCAGGATGTCTGTTGTAGAGGCCATGGGCTTTTTTGGTGGGGTTTTCCCACAATAGGAGAACTTCAAATCAAAGCCCCTGCTCATAGAGATACAGAGCTGAAATTTCTCCCAACTGTTCAAGGAAGGAAGCTGGGTTGTAAGAGGAAAAGTGTGCCTTTGAGTCATGTTTCTTCTACTTCCTATAGCTATTTTTAAAGTTTACAGAAAGAAAAGAGAAAGAAAAAGTAAAACTTTAGGGTTGGTTTGTTTTTTTTTTTTTTTAAATCCAGCATAGCTAACTTCACCAGGAGCTTTGCCATTCATTTCAGTGGGAGCCCTTATCACAGTGTTTCATTTCTTCAGTTTGCCGCTAGCACTGCAAAGCCAACTGTGGTGTGTTTTGGCTTCACTGGAAGGTGTTGAACCCCACATCCTCTCTCACTGTTATTCCTCTCCCCAGGAGCTGAACAGTGACTTTCCACCTAGTTATAATCTTAGTCAGCTATAAGCTGACTTCATAGTTTATCAGTGAACAGGGCATGTTCCCTGCAGTTTCTGGACTGTGTCAGCTTGTATATTCCCTATCTTGTATAACCACATATGTTCATGTAGTGACAAAATGTCACTGTCTAAATGCAAAATATGCTCTGCATGGATGTAAAGGACCTCAAGATACAATGTGCTATAGTCATGCCTGTGGTGGTGTGGTTGTTTTGCTGTAGTAATCCAAAATCTGTGGGAGTGTTACTAGTACAGGAAACCTGCAGTGGGATGTATGAGGTCTGTGTTTGAAGAAAAGAAAACTTGTAGTTGTAAATGTCAAGCTTGTTGTTCTTTCGTGCCAAATGCTTTTTTATCTTCCAAAACCAACCCCTGTCTGCTCCGCATTGGACCTTCTCTGGGATTGAGGTTAGCAGAGTGGAAATCTGCGTCATTTTCATCCTGAGAATTGAGATGCTCAGTGAGATCCAGCTCATGGGGTTATATGATACATGAAAAATGCCATACCCTTAAATTCAGAGAAGGAAAGGATATTTTGAACCCTCATGGCTGAGAAAGAAAGCTTGTAATAAAGAACTAGAAATAAAAAAAGAACTGGAAAAAACCCAGTTCCTGGTTTCTGAAATTCAGGCCCACATAAACCCCTTTCTGTGCATATCACAAACTACTCCCCCGAGTAGTGTTTGCTGGAGGGAAAGCATCTTCCTCCCATCAGCACCCACCTCCCACATCTCACCTTGCCTGCAATGGGAGTGGAGTCATCACTGCCTGAAACCACTTGGAAATACAGGATAGATAAGAGCTGTTGTACCCAGGCAGCACCCTGGTCCCATCTGTTCAGGGGTGGTAGAGCCACCTTTGTTTGCTTGACTGTGGGTAATTTCTCTCCCCCTCCATAACTTGCTGACTGCTGAGGACATGCAGAGAAACCCACAGGAGCCAGCTCATCCCCATGTATGACCCGATGCTTATTTTTACCCAGTTGTAATATTTCTTACCTGTCCCATGCAGCAGATTCAAGGAAGTCGTGCAGGGGCCAGGCCTGCAATTCCATTTGTCATGTCAGACAATGCAGAAAATTGCATTGCAACACAGCAAACTACTAAATCACACGTAATTGCTCTGATAAGGGTTTAGGGAAGGTGACAACAACGAGGGATTTCTTTCATTTCCCAAGGTTAAACATCTTGGAGGTATTTGATTGCCTTCTCTTCACGTGCAAATAGGTGTTTTCTTCCCAGCTCTCTTCTGTGTAAAACAACTCACAGAAAAAGGTTTTAAAAGAAGTTTGCTTGTTTTCCTGCATGTAACTAAAGGAGGCTTGACAGTCTCATGTGTATGACACCGAGGCCAGCTCCTGTTGTGCTGGTCTTGCAGGAAGAGATGATCCTGCAAAGCAGGTCCCACCTCACTGCAGAAGGCAGATGCAGAACAGTGACTGTCCTGTGCTACACTGCAGCACAATGAAACACAGAGGAGGAAGGTGAGGCACTGGAATGGGTTTCCCAGGGAGGTTGTGAATGCTCCATCCCTGGTGGTGTTCAAGGCCAGGTTGGATGAAGCCTTGGGTGAGATGGTTTAGTGTGAGGTGCCCCTGCCCATGGCAGGGAGTTGGAACTAGGTGATCTTAAGGTCCTTTCCAACCCAACTATTCTATGATTCTGTTCTATTCTATGATTCTAGGAAAGAAGCCTTGGGTAGATGTCAGGCCTGGGTTCAGGTTGGTCCCAAACCCTTGCTCCTAGGAGAAGTACCCTTATCCCTAAGGCTGGTTGCCTCCTGTTTTGGTTCACTGATTTCAAAGCCAATGTTTTCAGTAATTGAAATCCATTTGTTTCCTCATGTGTGGAAAGCTACAAGTGTTTTGTCTGTGCAGGACTGTAAGAAAAGGCTATTGAAGCTGTTGGCTGCCCCCCCCCAACCATCCTCCAAAATAGCTTTTTTATTGCTGTGCAATATTTAAACTTCAACTAAAAACTGACAACAAATTAAGAGCACTGGAAGGATCTCATTGCTTGAGTTTTAACGAGCATATCTTGGTTTTCCTATGGCATTCTGGCTTCTAGCAGCCAAAAATAGGGCTGGCACATCAGAAGTGTGCAAGTAACTTGTCTTAAGGCTCACTTCCATTTCCCTCAGGCAATGGGTGCGGGGTGATGGCAGCCACCCATTTCCACGGGCTGCTGCAGTGATTTTTCTCCCCATGGACGCTTCAAATGCTGTGCAACTTCCTCTGAGCAAGTGTGAGCAGTTGCACTGAAACAGGTCACAGCACTTGGATGCTCTGTGTGCTGGTGGCTGGCTGGGCTCTAGGATAACACACTCCAGTGCACCAGGGGTGTCTCCGAGCATAGGAAAGTGGGGCAGCAAAGCCAGACAGGGTCTCCCAGCCTTTGGGAATGCTGTTGCCAAAGGTCAGAGCTGGAAATCCCACCCCACCCAGGCTGCTTTCCTTCATTGTCTCTGGCTTTATGTCCAGCTGTGGGGCTTATCTCAGAGGAAGGGTGGAGGTTTTCTACAGAGCTGATTCATTTCTGACTTTCTCACCATTGGGAAGAAGTGACCAAGTGGCCTCCTCGCAGCTCCAGCTGCTCCAGGTACTTCCTAATTGCCTGTGAGAAAGTCCTCAGGAGGCTGACCTGGGGGGTCAGTGAGCAGGGCTTCCAGGCAGGAAGGGGGATCTGGCTCCTGTTTCTCCCAGAGAGGCACAGCCCAGAAGTCATTTTTCTGATGTATATATCTCAGATATTGATATATGTATAACTTATAATTATAGAATATATACATTATATAATTGTCTCGTAAGACCTCACCTGGAGCATTGTGTGCAGTTCTGGTGTCCTCAGCATAAAAAGGACATGGAACTGTTGGAACAAGTCCAGAGAAGGGCCACTGGGATGATCAGGGACTGGAGCACCTCCCATATGAAGACAGGCTGAGAAAGTTGGGGCTGTTCAGCCTGGAGAAGAGAAGGCTGCGTGGAGACCTCATAGCAGCCTTCCAGTATCTGAAAGGGACCTACAAGGATGCTGGAGAGGGACTCTTCATTAGGGACTGTAGTGACAGGACAAGGGGTAATGGGTTAAAACTTAAACAGGGGAAGTTTAGCTTGGATATAAGGAGGAAATTCTTTCCTGTGAGGGTGGTGAGGCACTGGAATGGGTTGCCCAGGGAGGTTGTGAATGCTCCATCCCTGGAAGTGTTCAAGGCCAGGTTGGACAGAGCCTTGGGTGATATGGTTTAGTGTGAGGTGTCCCTGCACATGGCAGGGGGGTTGAAACTTGATGATCTTAAAGTCCTTTCCAACCCTAAATATTCTATGATTCTGTATAATTTGATATATATAATACATATAATATGTAATAAAATTATATATAATCACATATATATGAAAAATAAAGTGAAAGAAAACAAGTGGCTTAAGAAAATAAAAAGTCTGCAAGAAAGAGATAGGAAGGGAGAACATTAAGGAAAAAAGCTATTGTAAATCATGTCACTGGACGTAATTCACAGTTCATCTGCAATGTCCTTATTTGAGTTGTTACATTATTCTGCTTTATGTTCTGGTATTTTCAGTTCTTTGTACTGTGCTCTTTGGGCCCTCCTGAATAATAGGTGTCTGTGATAAAATAATTTCCAGTGGTTATTTATCTGACCCTCTGCATTGTCGTAGCTTTTCTATGGGTAGGGATTATTTCTCAATCTTCTTTTACTCTGGGCTTCAAAGATAGGAACTGTCGATTTTCCAAGGCTTTGCTTGCTAAGTGTTAATATGAAGTCCTGCTTCATCCCTGGAGGCTGGGCACAGCAGGTTACTTCAGTATGGGATATTTTATGAATAGTTTACAAAAAGTAGGTGGTGAAGGATTGTTTCCCACTTAAACTAAGAATTCCACTAAAGAAATGAAAACAGTCTTAAAAGTGATCTTAGGTTTGCAAGACTGAAAGCAGTCTTCCAAGTCATTGAGTCAGACATGGTATTTCCTAAAGCCTTTCATCCATTTATCAAATTTCATTAAATATATAGAGAGGGGTGGTTTTTTGTTTGATCAGTGGCTTCTCTGTGTGAAATATGCTCATTTTTTAATTTCTTTTCACTTCCTGAGTTTCTTTTAGGAGATCTTTAGTAAGAAAGAATTTGGTCCAAGACCTGACAGTTGTTTTCCCTTTTGCCAGTCAACATCATGCTAGTATTGCACCATGTATATGTTCAGTGGGGCAGAGAGGTGCAAAACAGGAGAGATACCTTTTCTTCCTGGAGCTTTTGAGAAAAGCAGGCCAAATTTATACTAATAATGGCGGTGTTTAAAATCCTATGCAATTTGTAAATGTGCATTTCCATGGTAACACGTAGGTAGTGAAGTAATCCTCAATTCATCATCTTCCATGAAATTCCAGCAAATATTCCTAAACATTCATCCTTTTCTAATCCCAGAGCTGTTGCCATGGAAATGATCAGATAAGATACAGGCCTGTAGGCAGATGGGTCTATAAAGGATGCTAAATCTTGGCCCATTGAAATCTACAGAATTATTTAGTATTTCTTATTTAAAAGCAACATAGCTGGCAGTGATTTTTCTCTTTTGATTGTTTCAAGATTAATTAACTCCCCAAAAGGCTTCTTTTTAAGTGACCCTTGTGAACTAAAAGTGGTTTTGGGCACAGTGTCACTCAGGTCTCTCATCTTCTCTAAGCTGAGCTGTTGTGCAGCGGAAGGGCTTTAACTGATCCTGCTTGCTGCTCCAGTGCTCCTGATCCTCTCTGCACACGTGTATAACTCAAATTCCCAGTGGCATTGCTTGCAGCATGGGTTTTAGGCCTGCTTTTCAGATATCTTATTCTGCAAAGGAGCTTATTTTTATTTTTCACCATTTATCAGAGCAAAGGACAGGATCCAGGAGATTACATCCAACACCCAGAGGTTCGTTGCTTTCCAGTGCATTACATTTCAGTTCCAAAAGCCGTGCAGGATGAGAGGTTTACATGTGCAGAAGCACCCTCTGAGCACTTTTTCAAGCTGGGCCATCTAGATGACTGTTAAAATAGGATTTGGTTTCCAAGTCTTTAAGTTGAATGTTCTTAAGTCACAAAGGTGTGTTGAAAGCTCTATTTCTTCTGTTTTCACTGAGAAATTTATATGTAAGAGGAGCCATTCATTTTTGTTTTGCCTTCTGAAATCGAATGGGAGAGTATTTCAAAGACACAAACCACTCTTAGGCACCAATTTTGCTGCCTTTCAATAAGGGCTGGCGATCCAATTCCCATAGACACCTTAGGCATTTTTCTGCAATGTTTCTTTATCTCTGTGCACACAAATACCCATAAATTAATCTGAGCAGAGAGCACCTGAATGCGAAGTTGTTCTTTTATTGTATTGGCTTTTAAACAAGTGTCTGGTAAGAGGCACCCATTTAGACAATTGCTATGGAAATAACAGGGGTTAAAGAGCCCACTGAAACAGCCGGTTTGTTATCAGGTTTTGGTGGAGGTTATCACCTTGTGTAAGATTGTGAACTTAAATTGTATGAGGCCACCTGGTGTAATGCATGAGCTGCTGAAGAGGTTGTGTTTCATCTCCTGTGCAATGTCCACCAGTGTAGCTGTGGTGGATTTCCTCCTTAAGGAAGGTCAAGTGGACATTCTCAGTCCTGAAGGACTAATGAGAAGTGGAGATAGACACCCACTTTCTCTCTGTATATACACCTTATAAACTTCATGCCAACAGGGATGGTTTAACTTGAGGACAGACAGAAAAGAGGAGAGTTCTGCGACTAAAAAGCAGGCGGAGGAGGAAGGACTCTGACAGAAGCTGTTCAGCACGTGAAACTCCAGGGAGAAGGGCAGAAAATATTACCAGCATCCATCAGTGTCTGCACAGTCTGTTCCTGCACCCCCTCTGCGGACTTTGCTCTCTGCTCTTCCCAGCATGGTGGCACTTTTGTTCTCATTATAGGGTGGAAATGACAGAAATTACACCCTCAGAGCCAATGCCTTGTGCCTACCAGAGCTGCTGGCAGGGGCAGCCCAGGACATGAGGCCTCAAAAAAGCCTCTGCAAATCAAAAGCTTCACTATTTGTATTCTTGTGGAGTGGTATTTTGAAGATTCCCCATAGATGACCTAGTAATGCCGATTAAAAAAAACTATGCAGCTCTTTACAGAGCTTAAAAAAATCAATATCAGCAGCTCTGCCTGGGCTTTAGTCATTCACTGGCACTGTTTATTGCCTAATAATACTGCATGGATTGCAGCTCCTGTGCCAAGCACACCACAGCCTGGGAGGGAAAAGGGGAGGGGGGGAATAAATGTAGTAAAATCTCACATGAGAATGGCATGTGTGACAGCCAAGTGGCCTCCACAAGCAAATCTGGTCAGTCCAACCTCCCCTCACAAAGAGGTTAATGGCAATTATACCCTGCATTTATATGGTGCCCTAAATTGAAGGGACACATGGCTCCCACTTATACTTTTCCAGCTTTAGCTTATGGATGGGGAAGGAAGGTCAGGAACAGCTGAGTCACAAAAGTTCGTGACCATTGGCAGGAATTGGGCCCAGGTGTCCTGGGCTCTGGCCTGCAGCTGTAGTTCAATATATGATATTTATCTAGAGACAACCAAGAGAGTTTGAGATGGGGAGGGTTGATGAAGATGGAGGGCAGGGGGTGATGGGCATGGTGGGAAGAAAGGAGGGAGAAAAGAAAGAGGCAGCAGAGTAGTATGCAATTGGAAGGAAAGTTTCTCGTGTCTTTAGATTAGAGGTCAGAGGAAGAAAGGAGCTTGGATTAGCAGGGGAAAAGATACGGACTAGAATACAGAAGGAAAGATTGAGATGATTCTTAGCAATGGTGCTATAGAGCAGACACAGCATAGATTTCCTACTGCTGTATCCAAAGGAGAGCTCCAGTTCCTGTACCTTCGTAACTGCTCCTGGAGCTCACTAAGATGTGAGTAGGACACCATCAGAGACTCCCATGTTACTGCAGGAATGCTGAATCCCCTGTGGAAAAGGGAGACAGTTTGTCTAAAGACTCAGACAACAACTGAGTCTCTGCCATTATACTCTAAGTAGCAAACTGCTGTGATTTCAGCAAGACTGAAGTTCCCAAAAATATCCCCTTGGCTAGGCCTGGCCATAATTGCATTGATTTGTACATGTGCAAAAAAAATAAATAGATGAAAAGACAAGTATGAAACAGGTGCCCTCATGCAAATGAAAGGATGGGGAAGCAGTGAAATTTGTCTGGCTCCTTTCCCTTCCTTTCCCTT